TCCCCCCATTCTCTCATTCTCTCTTCCTTTAGAAATATTTCATGAATATTCTCAGACTATTTTTCTTCATCTCTTTTCCTTTTTCACTACCTGTCAGTTTGCCATAATTGGACTTAAAAATGTATATTTGTGTGCCCTGTTTCTAACCAAAAAGTTAGATAATTTAAAGTTTTCATATCCACTCCTATGCTAAATTAAAATGACTCTTTTATTTGCATGTGCACTAGAAATTTTTCCCTAGTCTTTGAACTAATAGCCAGTTTAAAAAAATAAAAGTGTCTTGCCACTGCATAATTAATAAACAATTTAAGTAATAACGGGAAAAACAAAACTATCCTCACTAAACTACTTATATCAGATACAAGATTATCAGTTATTTAATTTTTGAACTTCAAGTTGAAATTATTATTGTTAATCATTGAAAATTTTACAGTTCCCAACAGGATTCTGAGTATGTCATAGAATATGAAGATGCGTGGGGGTTAATAAAGGCCTGTGGAATTAGGATCACTGATGACGCCAGCTCCTCACAAAGCTACTTTAAGTTGGAATAGTATAATTTATATGAACCATTAGAATTGACATAGCACTGGGACAGCCCAACTGTTCTGATACTTTATTAATTAAACCACCGCAAGAACATTTTTTTTCATTGACTATCATGAAGGAAAATAATTAAACTGGTGTTGGGGTCTCAGGTACCCTGATTCTCTGAAATTATTTTTTTTCATTTATTTATTCTGCAGTATTCCGATGCAGGTATATGTGTCCAAGTATGGATATTTTTAAAAAATTTCTTTTTTTGCTACCAGCCCACACTGATTTTTAAAATAGAATGGCACACCTGCCAGTTGATAAGTTTTAAGTATTTAAAGATATGCATATAATCACTTGAGTGTGGTGTCACAGTTCTTATTATTATATTCAGAACCTAGATGTCATTTATACACATTTCCTAGCTATGTCCTGTATAGTTTTTTTGCCAGTGTTCATCCAGACCTTCAGGTGTTGATTGAAGCTATCAGTGTTTAGTCACTAAGAATGTCCAGGTTCATAGGAATTTCTTTTTTTACTTTTTTATTTTTTAGGAATTTCTTAAGCAATGATGAGGCTGATGGGACTTCATGAGCAGATGAGATAAATAAGCACAAAGCTGGGGCAATTAAATAAGTGAAATAGAAACAATCGTTTCTCTTTCCATTAAAGTGAGTAGAATAAAACAGTTCCCATTATTAGATTAGGAGTAACAGGGAACCAAATCTTTTATTCCCTCCAAGTTGTTGTCACCAGTCCCACAAATTGTTACCCTCAGCCATATCTGATTGGGAAGTATTTTAAAAGATGTAGTGTCTCACGCTTTGAGAGGCTAAGGTGGGAGGATCGCTTGAGGCCAGGAATTTGAGAACAGCTTGGACAACATAGTGAGAACTTGTGTCTACAAAAAAATAAAAATAAAAAATAGAAATAATAATTGATCAGGCGTGGTGGCGGTATGTGTCTGTAGTTCCAGCTACTCTGGAGGCTGAGGCAGAAGGATGGCCTAAGCCCTGGAGGCTGAGCCTGTAGTGAGCTGTGATTGTGCCACTGCACTCCAGCCTGGGTGACAGAGACCCTGACTCAAAAAAACAAAACAAAACAAAATAAAAAACACAGGACTTCAGTGTGCCTGGGAATTCCAGAAGAGTTGTAAGCTTGGCAGTCTTGTGGAGCAGAGTTGCTATCGTGTGTGTCTAGCTGCATGTTTGTGGCAGACAAGGAAGGTGAGAAACCTACACGCTGACACACGAGTTATTGACACATGAGTTACTGACAAGCCAATAATTTCCCTTCTCAGATGCTGCCTTGTGGTTGAATTTAACTCACTGATGGACAGTTCTGGATCTGAAGGTGCTGATTTCTGTGGGGCACACAGTAACTTGTGTCATGTGCCAAATGAGCACTTTGTAAGTTCCCTTCCTGCAGTGTTCCATGTCCCAGGTCTGTGACCTGCTTGAGGTGGTCAGCACGGGCTGGTCCTTCAGTTGTCCAAGGCCTTCCCAGCAGGAGAAAGAAGCTCCGTCCAGAGAGTCTGAGGATATGGACTCAGCCAAGTCTTTGCTGTTTCTGGAAGGGCCTTTGGCCCTTTGTGCCTGTCTCCTTCTGTGCGTGGAGGTGGTGGTCATGTGAGGTGGCAACTGTTGAGGACAACTAGACCCTTGCAGCCGATTTCTACAGTCACTGTTAGTGCCATCTGGAGGTGGCATGCTGGCTTCCTAGGAGGGCTACCTCTTCTCTTTTGGGATTTATTTTCTGTGAAATACCTCAGGATATTGCTTTGCAATGGTCTGAAGAGTTACAGTGGATAAAGAGTATTTGTTTATAATACTTAAAAAAATTGGAATGAATTTAGTAAGAAAAAACTCAGAATATACTCTAATGCTATTAATACTAAATTGGAAATTGTTTAGAGTTCTTAATATAACCAGATCATTTAGATAGTAAAGCTTGCTTATGATGTTGCCTGAAGTCTCATTTAAGGTTCAGAAAATACAATGTTGCACATTCTAGGACACAGGAATGAGTCCAGCCCCTTTAGATGACACCATGTCTCAATTCAGACAGGTGACAATGACCTTGACAGTGAGCGAGCATCAGCCTTCTGACTTTATTGGGAGTGAGTGAACTTTAGATCTAAGAAAGCGCTTGGAAATATTTGATGGGGAAAAGAAGACTATTTTTAGGAAAATCTGGAAATAGCTTTTCTTAGAAAGGTCAAGTAAATATGACAGTGTTTGCTCTGCACTTGCTCCCAACAGTCTCTTGATTTAGCCAGCCTTTTGGTGTGATACAAGTGCCAAATAATCAGCTTGATGGAATTTAGTTACCTGTGGTTGCTTTTAGAATCATGTGAAGAGTCGGGAATTTAATTGTAGAATATTAATAATCTAGATATCTCAAATTGCTGAGATGTGTGATTCCATTTGTTTTTATAAGTTCTGGAGCTGAATATGCAAGTAGAACTTGACATACTACACACAGGTCTGTGTTTATATACAAGTTTGTTTTTGTTTTTAGACTTTGAACAACATGGGTTTGAACAGTGCAGGTCCATTTATATGTGGATTTTTTCAACCAAACATAGTATTCAAGCTATGGGAAACCTATGTATAGAGAAGGATGGCTTTCCATATATGCAGGACCTGTGTCACTTGTCCCTGGAACTGGCGGCATCTGGAAACAGGAAGGTGGGCTGGCCATCCACAGGGAGGGTAGTTATTCCCTCTTTGATGCCCACCCTGTACAGCCCAGGGTCCATCCTGTCCCTTGTCCCACAGAGGAGTGCAGCTTGTGGAGAAAAATGGAAAGGAAGGAATTTCCAAGCAGCATTAGAAGCTGCTTCCCAGGCTTTCCTGAGAAAAAGTACCACAGAGCACTGGGACAGGGGCAGAGGCCCTGTGAGGCCCTTTGGGAGGGCTTGTGGGTGACCCTGCCAGGCTCCTCGTGAGGGCTTGTGAAAAACCCTGTGTGGTTCCTGGTGAGGGCTCATGCAAAGACCTTCCTGGTATCTTCTTGAAAGGGGAAACAGACTTTATAGAAACCTGCCAACAGGACACTGTGTGTCAGCAGCACATTAGAACCAGGAGTCTGCTCTGTGCCCTGGAGCGCCCGGGGAAATGTGTCCTGTCTAGTCTCTGCCACTTACGTCATACATCTCCTGTGAGGCCTGAGAGGGATGTCACACGTGCACTCTCTCACCAGATGCATCTTCCAGGAATGCTTTTCAGGAAAACCTCAGAGGGCATATGCCTCCAGGAAGGCGGGGGCACCACACATGGGGACCCTGGTCTCTGATCTGCATGGAGGGAGGTGAAGGGCATGAAGGCAGCACAGCCAAGTCCTGTCACCACCATGCATCGTGGAGGAGGTGGTGAGGCCAGCCAGAGCCCGAGGTTGGGGAGAACAGGACAGGCATTGGCAGAGTGGAGTAGATGTGCTATGTTCCCTGGTGTGTTCAGCTGCGTAGAGGGGCATCCTGGAGTCCTCTCAGAAGATAGGGGTGTGTGGGTCCTGCACAGAAAGACAAAGGAGCAAGGAAGTGAGGCAGAAGTTCTCAAAAAGTAAAAAATGAGGCAAGCAAGAAAATGTAGCGGGGCTTGGTGGCTCAGCCTGTAATCCCGCGCCTTGGGAGGCTGAGGTGAATAGATTGCCTGAGCCCGCGGGTTCAAGACCCGCCTGGGCAACTTGGTGAGACCTCATCTC